ATCCTCTTTGTATCCGTTTGCTACTTTGATGATCAATGTTGTTATTTTATCCAAAAAAAAAAAAAAGACTCTTAGAATTGCCTAATATCGCGAGTGTAATTTTAAATGAGATAGAGAATTCATTGAGATAGAAAATTGATTTGACTGGGAGCTTATTTATAGTTAAGGAAATTACCTTTATGAATTCAACTTGTGCATCTCCCGAACATTTTAAAATCTTTCTGGAATTTTATAGAAATCTTTCAACATAATTCCAAGGTATGAATATTATAGGGAAAATTGTAGTCACGGTACCAAAAATTTCATTTAGTTGTAGACTCTGTCCAAACCTTTCATTTGTACTATCCACGGTACCTAACTTTCAAAAAATTCGTACCTAAAGTCCAAATGGACGGAAACCGTTAGTTGACTCCCAAAAATTACTTTAACCAAATCAACAAATGGCAAAATAGTAACTGCATATTTTTAGGGTAATGCTACATGTACACACACACTTTTACACAATCTTTTACATCTCTCTCACATGTAGGGGGTCCACGATTATTTTATTATGTGTGGGCCCCCTTCTATGTGAGAGAGGTGTAAAAGATTGTGTAAAAAATTGTGTACACTTAGCATTATTCATATTTTTAACATAAAAAAAAGTAACACTATTCACTTTCTTCATAGATGTCATCCACCCCATTCCCACCCTACCCTACCCTACGTGACTTTACCCCTAAAAATACGACGGTGCCACCGTCGGAACCAATGCGAGCACCACACCACCATAACATCCATTGCAACAATCTCCACCACCTACAACTGTTTAGAAAAGACCCTAAAATCGTCAACAAATCACCCTCCGAACCACCACGAGTTAAACAGTCCACAATTCCAACATACACATGAGTTACTGTAATCCCAACAAATACGCAAGTTCTATAATCCCAGCATCCAATTCCAATCCACACTCCATTCACATCCACCAAATATATACACACACACTCTTCTGCAAATATCGTCATCTCGCTCCAAACTAATTCCAATCCACACTCCATTCACATCCACCAAATATATACACACACATACAATCTTCTGCAAATATCGTCATCTCGCTCCAAACTAACAGCACAAAAAGGAATTAAAAAGAAGTGTTTTGTTATGTTCCCAAACCCTTTTTTTATATTACCTGATTATCAATGCTTCCTTCTTCACAGTGATCAAGTGCCCTCTCTCTTTTATCATACAGTACAAGGCCACTAAATCTTGGAAGCTTACGCTTTTCACCTATGAGTATTGGCATTTGCCACACAGGTGAAGTTGAACTATGACTTTGCCAACCAAAATCTCCTGCACAATTTCCTCTCACAAGCAAAGGTGTAGGCCCTTCTTTACCATTCCCACTAAAGTGCACTTCCCACTTGCTCGGCTCGCTCCACCGTACCGAGCTCATTAATGCCTTCTTCACTGAGCCCCACCCCGGTCGCGGTGGCTCAACCCACGTCGTGGTGATTGAGACTTCCATATACGGTTCTTGATATACAGCTTCTTTCCTCCTACTCCACTTTCTCTTCAGAGTTGTCGCCGTCCGTAAACTGATCAGTAAAGTTTATTTTAGGTTTGGATGGGGTGGGTTGGGTTTTTTTTTATTTTAATTATTTTATTATAGAAAATGTAAAGTTATCATTTTATCCTTTTAAAATTAGTCAAAATTATGGTCAATATCAATTCTTTGGTCAACAAACGGTTAGACTAACGATTTCTAGTCATTTGGAATTCAGTTGCGAATTTTTTGAAAGTTTGGTACCGTGATTGACACAAATGAAAGATTTGAGCAGAATCTGCAACTAAATGAAAGGTTTGGTACCGTGAGTGCTATCTTTCCAATATTATAATATCAATCTTTTGCTTTTCTTCATTTCCTTGGAAAATTTGCACAATTTCTCATTGACATTAAGCACCTATAACTAATACATTCTCAACATTTAGTGTGTGTTTGATCGCGAGTACGAAATTTGCATGGAAATAAAATAAATTTTAGACAATTTATCTAGAACTTATTTATATGAAAATTATTAATTAAATGTGTTTGATTGATTTAATTTTCAATCTAGAAAATATTATGCTTGTTCATTTTTTATTGGTGGGTAGATGAGAGAGAAAAGAGAGAGAATGAATTATCTGAAAAATAAATATTACTTCTCCTTAAGGAAATTTTTTCCTTATTTTCAAGGAAAATATGGTCATATAACTAAAAATAGAAAAATATCTTCCGCTGAGAAAAAAATTGTTAATTAAACAACACAAAAGTAAAAAATTATGTGAAAAAAGACATTTTTCTTGAAAAATATTGACAATCAAACGCATCCTTAGTTCCTTTTGCATATCTTTACAATTTTTATATAATTTCGTCATTTTTTGACCTGCACATAAAGAGTTTGGGCTTGTTTGGGCTCAATTTTTAGTGTAGAATGTATTTTGAAAAAAATAGATTGATAGAGAATGTGTAGTTACACAATAAGAAAATTTTTTTAGTTTATGTGTAATATCATTTATTAAAGAATGTATGGTTAAAAAGAAGGGGGAAAAACTTTGTGAAAAATAGGATCAAGGGCTTTATAGTCAGCCATACTCATTCTCTGGAGCATCAATTACTCGTCTTAACACGTATAAATCAAGGATTCCATTAATTTAAGCTAAAACACAATTTTTATCACTAAAAAAACTAATTATAATTTATATTAAATATTATTTTTTGAATTTATAAATCTAAACACGTCGTCCATCTGGAATAGGAGGGTTTAGATTTATAAATTCATAAAATAATATTAAATTATTTATAATTTATAAAAACTAATTATAATTTATATTAAATATTTTTTTATGAATTTAATGTTTTTTATTTAAATAGGAAGGTATATTCGTCATTTCACAGGTTTTTATTGATAAATTGGATGAAAGTGGATAGAAATGATGGTTTGTACAATCAAATGTGTAATCAATGGTGGAAATGCCAAAAAAATGAAAGGTGTCCATTTTTCACAATAACGGTAAAAGATATGGACATTGTGTACTAATTACCCTTTTAATAATTTATTTGTAACTTATTTGCACTTTTTTTTTTAAAAAAATGGAATTGTGGTTGCAATTAATTTTTTTCTTTTTGTTTTATTTAAAGATAGAGTTATATTCATCATTTCATAATTTTTTTAATAGAGAAAATAGGTGTAAATGACCTTTTGAGCAATGAAAAATGGAAATAAGGGTGAAAATGTCAAAAAATGAAAAGTATAGACGTTTTCCACAATAACAATGAAAGGTGTGAACATTATGTGCTAATGACCCAAATAGAAACACTATTTGTTCTGCTACAATAGAATATATCATTAACACAAAAAAACACAATTGATTACTGATTTATAAAAATACTGGTGTGTTATATCTTTAACTTCGAATTTATTGAATTGATTAATAAAAGATGTTAAATAGTTGTAATAGCACACTACATAAACCCACTTTGGTGTATATATAAAATAATTATTAAAATAATTGAGTTCCTTCACAACGCTAATAATATATTTAATGCTATTATGAGCATTATAAAAAAATATCACTGCGAGAGTAAAGTTTGTTCTTTTACATTTGACAACGTTAGTGTCAATAAGCCAATTAACGATAAATTGTGTAGGGTAGCCCGATTTCGTTAGTTATTTATTTCATATTTGTTGTGAGTGTCATATTTTAAATTTAATTGTGTAAGATGATTTGAAGCATATTAAAAATAAAATTTAAAGAATTAGGGATACACTAATATATATCGCAATTTTACCTAGTAGAAACAAGCATTCGAATAATTTTGTGCCAAATTTGGAGTAACGAATATGAAAATATTTGTTAGTAACGTATGAAATAGATGTTACTCCACTTACTTATTATTAAGATAATGCGAAAGATTTGAACATATAATAACTAAATTTTATAAAAATATGTATATTATAAACGAGGATGACATTATTTTAAATAAATCTGATTGACTTTAGCTTTTAAAATTTAAAAAATTTTGACAAATTTTAATGACTCTACAAATATTTTATCTGGAGTGTACTATCTCACAAGTTGTATGCCACTTGAATCTCTTTATATTATAGCAAATACTTTTCATATATACAAAAATGATCCTGATTTTAGTGAAATTATATATTCTACAGAATTAAAGATTAGAAAATATTGGGAAGATTTGTTTACGTTATTTCTTTTAGTAGAAATTTAGAACAAATTTTATGTGAAATATATAAATTGTATGTAGAATGAATGTATGCAAATATTAGTCAGACACATTCTACACCTACTCCTCCTTCTAATATTGAAGAAGACGAAGCTCGAAGCTGAAATATTAAATTTATTTGAGACATCAACACATATAGATATGATGCAATATGTTTTTCTAGTAGTAGTATATCTGTTGCACATCTAATTAGACATCAAATGTAAGTCCAAATGCATTGCCTATTGAATTATTTGATTACTTTAATCATAACATACCTAGTAATAAATAAATAATTCAAAAGAAGTAATTGACTTATGACAAAAGTTGTTCATGTGCAATTTATACGTAACAAATTGTTCGTGTGCAATTTTTAACTTCGTCTACTCGAAATTTAAATAGTCGGTTCCAAACCTCGATAGAGGAAGAGTGTTTTATCTAAAAAAGTAAAATAAATATAAAAAGAGGAGCTCGCGGGCCGAGCCAAGCTCATGGGTAATAGCCGCTCGGCCCATTGCCACTCCTACATAGCTTTGAACAATTCATAAAGAAAACAAGAAAAATCAAGATATGAGGCTTACAATTTTCCTCTCAAAAATTCTCTTAAGTCACGTACAAAACGAGTAGGAGAAAGGCACCCCAATGTATTGACATTAGGAACAAACCAAAGAAGAAATTTGGCCAAATTCCTTTAATTCAATTGCGTTTCTACCACTCCAATCAAATGAAAATAAATCAGGACAGGTAAATTTAGCCCATTTTAGTACAAATTGTTTAAAACTTATTTTTCTCCAAACTCATTATAAATAACATGTTCTCAAAATGAAAAAATTTCTCACATGGACTCGTAAGTTTTCCATAAACACATGTTCTCCAAAATATCATTTTGCAAAAAATCTATTCTCCAAAAAAATTTACATCAAACAGATCCTTAATATTGCGTCTTTTAGCAACTTCTTTTCCCAATCTCAAAATGAGACGTGTAATTGCATACGGACACTTTCTCAATTACAATTGAAGTCCTTGTACTTTTAGTCACTTTTGAGGCAAGATCCCAACATTTTCGCTATATGAAAATTTTGGACAATCGTGTAGAATTTTCACTATCCATGCTAGGTTTTATTATACTTCGCCACTATCCACGGCGTTTTGTTGCATTATAGTTGATGTCAAACCTTTGTTGCTCTCCACTGTTCTAAGTACCTCGCCACGAAATTAGTTGCACCCAACTTTGATGAGACTTACCCCAAAGTGTGGAGGATCCACGAGTTGTGAGTTGATACGAAATTTTATAGAATGTAATTATCCGTTAGAATCAGCTTTTTTACCGAGCTCGACTTAGGCTTATTCACATTGTCTTCCTATATATGGTTGTAGTTAGAGGCAGGCACGTTCAAAATTGGCTTCACGTCCTCTTTTGACCTAATTGGTACATCGAGAAAATCTTCTCCCCCCTATTTCAATTAATAATCCAATGCCCTTGCTCATGCCAATTACAAAAGGAGTTTTTGGTCAAACTGTGTCCAGCCACTGTGCGAAGTGGAGGTCTCATAATTCAAAAGGAGAAGAAGTACACGTGAAAGCGTTGGTTCAATCAAAAGGAACACAGTTTTCCTGCTTCCTGCCATTTTCACCAGTTTCAAATATCGGTTCCCGCAAATGTCTCTGGATTTTTCAGCTCAAACTTGTCTGGTTGCTTTTGATGTTTAGTACAAGAAATTATTGTTCATCGTATTCGTAACTTTATTGTACAAGACATGTAACTTTGAATATTATTCACCTTAGTGCCAACTCCAAGTTATTCCATTTCAAGAACTGGGTCCAACAAGAGGTTCATAAATACGACAATCTGTGTATACAAGCCAGCTGTTTTGTGGCACCAGATAACAACTCTTTGAAGTTGACATTTTCTGTTAAAATGAGTCAGAACAGGTAGAATTATTCATTCCACAGTACAACATCCAAAAATCTCAAAGATAATTTTACTGCAGCTGAGCTGTTCAAATCTCGCTGTTTATGTTTAGATAGGAAGATAAAACTAGGAAGAGACGGAATGGTATAACAATAATCATAATTTGAATAAGACATGACAGCATGGAAGCTAAGAAGTGGCTCTGCCAAACAACTTTATCTCACTCGAGAGGATGAGTAGATAAGTATATAATTAATAAAGTTTAGGGGAAATTGCATTAGTGGTCCCTAATATGTTTACATAAACTTTAAAAAAAAAAAAAAGGAAATTACCCCCAACCACCCTCACCCCACCCTTATGAAAATTAGAAAGGCCGATGGTCGGCGCCTTTTTTCGACTCCCACCCACACCGGTGGGCACAAAGATCGGTCGCCATCGACGCCCACAATGTCGACACCATTCCCAAAGTCAGTCCTCACCACCCAAATATCAAAACTAGAAATTAAATTAAACCCAACAGAAATCAAAGTAACTGGACCTTCATTTGCGTGTGGAATTAGATAGAATTTGAAGACAAAATTAGATCAATTTGTAGCACAATTAGATCAATTAAGGGTATTCCCATTATTGTTCGGTGTTGCTGAGGGATTGTGGGTTACCAATTTGGTGAAAAAAGAGTTCAAGATTCGTTAATTGAAGGAGGCGGAACTGCCTCATTTTGCTCCCGAAGTAGACCTATATCAATCGAAGTTGTTTTCGATAATGTATCATCGTAAATTGGAGCACCTAGGTGAGGCGAACCAACTAGTAGTGGTGCACGACCGTGGGCGTCACTGAACTTGTTGGATTTTGTTGTTGGACCGCGCGACTCCTATGAATTTAAGGGCTGATTTTGATCTCCATGTAATGTTGTTTTGATCTCTATGTAATGTTGTTTTTCCAATTAATTGTGTGAGATGTGATTGTAGAATGAGACAGCCTGCTAGGGGATGAAATTCTAGCGGATTGGGTGGCAGGTGGTGGCGGGTGTTTTTTTCTAGTTTCAGATAGGACAGTCGACGGTGGGTGGTGTTTTACTGGCTTGGGGTGGGGTGGAAGATGAGGATTTTATTTTTTTTTCTAATTTAATTTTTAACTTATTTTAGAGATAATATGTAAAAGTATCATTTTGTCCTTTTAAAATTAGTCAAAACTGTGGTTAAAGTCATTTTTTTGGTCATCTAATGGTCAAGTGGACGTTTTTCATCCATTTGGACATTTATAGCATATTTATAAAAGGTTATGGACTTTCGCTGACATAAATTGAAGATTGGGATAAAGTCTGCAAAAATTGAAAAGATTAGAGACCGTTACTGCAATTTTCCCTAAAGTTTACTTCAAAAGGGAATCTTAGTTCAATAGTATTGTAGATTAAGAAAACATTAGGTGACCGTCAATCTTAGCTTTATCTTAGCTTCCAAATAAGACAAATACAAAGATCCACAAAATATGAATTTGGGATTGCTCTTTTGTCAAACATAATAATTTAGTCCTCCATTATGCCAAACATCAAGTTTTAACAATTGTTTCTGTTCACACTGAGCTTGGGGATCAAATTGGAAGGTAACAATCTTTATAATTTAAAAAAAATCGGAGAAATATGCTCCATCGGATTAAACAGACAATTCTCTGGACTAATTGAACAACATTGCACTTTAGTGTTGAACATGTTTACAAATATTTTACATAAGGGCACTTTTCAAACTAGGAAAATAAGTAAAGCAGAGTGGAACAATCTTTATTTGAACAATAAAACCAAGATACAAATCAAGCTGAGCACATAACTCTAAGAAATGAGGTAACAACCATAGAACAATGATTAAACTTGTAGCATTTTCGACTTCAAAAAGTAAATCTGAATATATTTGCCTACCAAGATTTGTTTTTTTTTTTGCTCAAAATTATAACAACTGCATTTTCGGTTATTCATTAGCTCTTAAAAATCGAGAATGCACCAGAGGTGCAACACAATGTACACTTGAGCTAATATGTCTTTGACTTGACAGATGATAAATAACACGCAGGCTGTTCAACTGAGTGCAATCTACAACAATGTTAAATAACAGCTCGAGAAGCTTACATTAGTTAACTTCGTTTGAACATCAAATCAGAAAGAAGTCCAAAGAACTCTTCGACGCTACATTATCTTGGATCGGCAGCCATAGAAACAGAACTTGATCCAGCAATCTTGTAACCTTTTCTATAGAATGGATTTGAATTCTCTCCAACAGAGTCGTTTCTCTTTATGCAAGACACACTACCTCTATTGTACCCAAGAACCTTAGACTGATTACTTTGGCCAGTAAACCTCCCACTTTGAAATCTTAAACTTGGAGCTCGTTTTTCATATTCTGGTTTAGGTTCAATCCCAACATTCTCACCACGAAACTCAGACTCCCCATCAGGGCCAGCCATTAAGTCCAACAAATTGCTCCTAAATCCCAAATCAGAGTACAATCTCCCTGAGTTCCTCAATGGTCGTCCAACTTTGGCATCCCCACCATTCATATTCCCATCTTCAGCCCCCTTTCCCTTTGAATTCACTTGGACACTTCTTGACTCTACCGGTCTCCCCACAGTATCAACCATCAAACAAGGATTAGCAAAACCATTCCACGAACGGATTGGAACCAGCTTACTCAACCCACTTAAACACTCTGCCACCTCCTTCATTGTAGGCCTCCTCTCCCTACAAGACCTCACACATTTCGCAGCTACCACCGCCAACTGTTTCCTCACAGAAGCATCCTTTGGTGGTTCTATCCTGGGATCATAAATGGCCATCAATTTCCCTCTCCTAATTAATGGAATAGCCCAATCAACAATAGAAGGCGGCGAATGCCCCATATCAATAGCTTTCCTCCCACTAAGTATCTCCAAAAGCAATATTCCAAAACTAAACACGTCAGTTTTAGTACTCAAATTATCAGGGGTCACATAACAGGGATCTAAATAACCCATTGTCCCTGCTGGGGGAGTTGATCTTAACCTATAATCATCCACACACCTCAAAGCCAGACCGAAATCCCCCAATCTTGCATTAAAATTCCGGTCTATCAACACATTGGCCGACTTGATATCACGATGAATTACTGTAGGACTTGACGAATGGAGGGTATCAATGGCTTTCGCAGTTTGTAAAGCCAATTTTATCCTTCTTCCCCAAGTGGGAGGCCGGGAACTCGAATGCAAAACATCATAAAGTGTCCCATTTCTCATGAACTCGACGACCAAGAGGTGATCTAGGGAATCATTCTTACTGAATCCAACAAGATTAACTAGTCTTGGGCTCTGCAGCTTTGACAAAATATCAATTTCATTCTCAACTTCGTTTGGGTTATCCGTCACCGACATCTGTGCAGCTCTTGAGGACTTCTTGATGGCCACAAGACGGCCTTGAAGAACCCCTTTATAAACAAGGCCATGACTACCCCTGCCCAATAGCTTTTGGTCGGAAAAATTGTTAGTTGCTGCTTGAAGATCTTTGTAGTTAAATTCTTGGATTTTGATGGGTTTTTCCTTTTCTTTCTCAGAATAGTAATGTGATTTCTTGGAGAAGGTTAAAGGTGGAGTCTTGGAATTGGCAGTTGCGATAGCAGATTCTGCTTTACAAGAAAGATAACCCATCAAGATTATTATGGATCCTATGTATCTATTGAATGCATTTATATCCGGGTTCGTGTGTGTGTATTACATTTGGATCATGAATTTACAAGAGAATTGGAGTTTGGCGATTGTTGTGGATGGTATGGAACTTCCACGAAAAATACAGAGAGCAGAGGAAGAGGTGGGGGGTTTACCGTTTACTGGAATTGGAATCCGAAGATTTCTGGTTTGCCAGCAATTAACGCAATGAGTGGGGTGGTGCAAAAGTCCCATATCTTTTTCATTTTTTAATTATTTTACCATTGATTTATAAGTCCAATAAAAGCGATAATAGTAAATTATTATATTTTATTTTATTTTTCATATATTTGACTTTATATATAAGCTACAAAAAGGAAATGAAATTACTCGCTTGTTTGATTTTTATTTTTTGAGAAGTAATTTACGAAATTTTGAATTTCTGACTAATCATTTCCACATCATTTCATAGAAAATTCTTACTTGCTTTAATAAAATAAGCCTCGATTTGATAAATTTATAAATAATTAAATTTTATTTTCAATCGCGTATATCAATAAATTCACAAATATTATCGCTCATCATTTCTATTTAATTATAATTTTTTCCTTTTTTTGTTCCACTTTTACCCGTTATGACGTAAGCTTAGATAAAAATAGTTCTTCGAGAGAAAGTGTAACTATTTGATGTACGTCTTTTTAGGTTTGGAATATTTTCATAAAGTTGACCAATGTTGAAATTCGATCCCAATGTCCAATCAAAACTACTTTACAGTGAGTTTTCATCCTTCTTTTCACTGTTTTAAGCCCCGTTTTTGGCAAAAGTTGAGACAATTTGTCAATAAAAGGCCATTAGGAATTATTGACTTTTTCCAACATAGTAAAATGGACCAATACAACTTTTTAAAAAACTAAGGATCTATTTTCTACAATTTTCAAGCTTTTTTCTGTTTTCGATTTTCAAAATAGTGAAAAAACGCTCTTTCCTATTTTTGAAAATGTATTTTTGAAAATAAGTTAAAAATTTACAAAGAAAACCCAAAATGACAAATTTGTCGTTTTGATGTTTTCAGTTATAATCAAGCCAAAATTTTCAAAACGCATTTTGAGTGTTTTCAAAATACCAAAAAGAACGCATTTTCAACAATTTCAAAATGAAAACTCAAAACTCAAAATGAATTCAAAACTCAAAACACAATATTGAAACACAAAGAAAACAACCCCTAAAAAAATTGTTTTTTAGAATACAAATGTAAAAAAGGGTATTGTAGAGTGTGATGACTTTGTGAACATATATATCAATTATATATTAAAAGTATTTCACGAATTTTCATATCAGAAGATGTATTAAACACAAAATTATGCTCGATTTCATGTCGAGTTAAATAAGTTGTCCGTTTATTTGAATTAAAAAATAAGTAGTTTAGTAAAAGGAAATTGATATTCTTTGTAGTAAACTAACTCTTGAAAAGGAATTTTGCTTACCCCTATAAGTAAACTGATGAATCCAAACTTTTTGACTAAAGTGAATTCATTATGAACATCATGAATTCCTGTAATAATTGATTGGCAAATAAAAAGAATATGTTAGTTAAAATTGTCCTTCATCTCTTTGGTGTTGGGCATTGTGTAGATAGATCTTAAACACCAAGAACAGTTCAAAAATCAATCGTTAAGTATCCAATTCTTATGGGATTGAGAGGAAAAGCATTTTCTAGTTAAAAATATAGATGTTTGGCTATGGTTAAAGAAGTGTTTATCCTTAAAAATTAGATATTTAAGTTGCTTTAGAGAAGCTCAAATTTTGGTTTATATTTGAGTTTACAGTTCATTTTCAACTTTCCCGTTCTGAGAGTTTGTTTTAATATTACTAAAAATTGGGTTTGATTTGTCATCTTGAACAATTATTTCTCAAAATAGAAAACTAGAAAATATGTTTGGTTTGAATTTTTGTTTTATGACATTTATTCGATGAAATTTGATTACATAGTAAAAATAATAATTTCATGTTAATATATTATCAAGTTATATATACATTTTAATATTGGCGAATCTGACAATTTTTTTTCTCAATACAAAAGTAAAATAAAAAAATAATTGATTGAGTGAGTGAGTGAGTGAGTTCAAAATATAAGAAATAAAAAGAATTTTATCCTAAATTTTTTTATAATTTTATTTATTTAAATTTTTAGATTTTATTTTTTCAAGACTTTTATTTTTCTATTTTGTAGAATGTATCAATTTTATTTTTAGAATTTATTTTTCTTCAATTTTTTAAAATTTTTATTTTTTAGAATTTTATATTTTTATATTTTTAAAATTTATTTAAATAAAATTTTATTTAAACAAGTGTTTTTTATGTTTTCAGAATTTTCATTTAAAATACTCAAAAAGTCAAAAATACGTTTTGAGTTTTATGTTATAAGTTTATCCTTATTTTCAAAAATGCATCTTCAAAATTGTCACACCAAAAATTGAAAACTTTAAAAACAATAGGATGACTGAAACACTGAACTTTTCTAAGTAGTTTTCAGTTTTCAAAATCTTTTGCTATTAATTAAACAGTTGTTCTCAATTTTAGAAAAGTTTAGGGTACTTACTTTACTTGAAACTTGAAAACAACTTAATGCATCAATTCACACACCGCCAAATATATATCACGTAGGGTGACTACCGATTGTCTTTACTGCGAATAACATTACTCAATTAATAGCATTACTTTAATGTAAAATTTTATGGGTGTCTCCGAAATTTTCAGAAACCCCAAGGAAGTATATGTTATTTGACCAATCTTGAATCTTCTATAAGATTGTTCCGATGGAACAACCAGACTCTGTCTCAAGTGAGCTCCACCTGAATTATTTCATTAGTTTTTGAGCTTTAGCAACTGTCATAAAATCAGATTTCCAAATTGAGACAATGCCAAGCTTATCCATTATGTTCCTGAGTATTAAATGGAACAACAGGATGAATATGCATACGACTTTGCTACAGATGGCAAACATTCTTATCAATTTATTGTATAAAAAATGCTGCTTTACCAAAACTGTTCATTGCCAGAACTTCTACATATAATCACATGCATGTGGGCCCCACCTGAATAAAATATTAATAAAAAATGTGGGCCCCACATGTTTGTCTCTTTTCTGGATTTTTCGTTTATGTGAGTGTAGCATTGTTCTTATTGTATATGTGTAGACACGACAGGGATATGACTAGATAATTAACCTAAAAACTCAAGTCTTGAGATATCATTTGTTCTTCTATTATACATCAATAAACCCTTACTCAACCTCATAATTTACATGAAGGAATGACACATTTCATTTTGAAGAAGACTGATAGTTTACCGATTACATAAGGTTCAAGTGCCAGTTGATTTCCAGGTGACTGCAATCAATCAAATCTTTGACTCGATTTAGTGCTGCATGCCTGTGTTGCAATAATAACATCGGGCCATTGTCCGCTTCCTTCTCCACCTTGCTATCTTTTCTTTTACGTGGCAGTTTTCTCGATACACTTTTCCATTTTGATTCAAACTCATAAGCTACAGCCACACAATGAGTAGGGAAATCAATCACTTGCACACTCGAGAAACAAATAAAGAAGTAATGTTAAGATCTAACACTGGCATGTATATATTAAAGTAGCTGTAGAGCTCAAGAATGGAAGAGATACATAAAGATCAAATCTGAAAAGAAATACAAAGATGTGAACATAAAGGTCTCGTGACAAGAGAAAACCAATTTCAATTTACTTCTCTATATATGGCAGTCAATATTCTTATCTGTACCAGTCAGACGAGCTAAGGGGGAGTAGATAGAATGAGCACCCAAATAAGTCAAGAGTGAACTGGGGAAAGTAGATTGCCCAATTCTAAAAATCAGTTCCAATATCATTACTTCATCGTCATATGGACATCTGAATTTGAGAGCAAAAAAAAGGGCTAGAAGAAAAGGCAATTCATGGAGCCTGACATAGCACTAGCTACTTGTTTATATCAAAATAATCTTAACACTTAGCAGGAAGAAGTTACCTTTGAAAGAAAAAGGCCACAATAATAGTTCATATAGTTGCCGAGTTGATATAAGCACTAAACCAGCCAAGGACAAAGACGGTTTTTGATACTGATGTTAGCAATAGCAAAATGAGAATGCGGAAATATTAACGTTCGATGTCCTAAGATGGTCCGTATTACAAGTACAAATTCGAATTTTAAAGGAATATACAGATCATCAAAGAACCAAGACTTCGACAGTTTCTATTGCCCTTCGAAATCAATAAGTTAATATTCATCACCCAAAATATAACACTATAATGTTTACGTGGCTTTAGTGAGATAATTACCTTTGCTTTTATTCCTGAATCCTTGAATAAGGCATGCACAAATCCACGGTCTTCCAGCACGGGAAGCTTTTGCACCACCTTTCAGTTCACCATTATGTTGTTTCAGGCTACCAAATAAATAGCAAACTTTAGTATACTCAAAAGAGGAGAGGGGGGAACAAGTATCATCAACTAGAAAAGAAAACAACACAAAAATAATCTGTTTGCCAATCATACAACCCTAAAACACCACCAATAAAGCATTTCCAAAAAAAAACACAATTGCAGATTTCAAATAGCAAAAATACCTCTCCCTCATTTAGCTGGCAAATCGGGGAGGTAAGAAAAATTATCAAAGTCGATTGCAATAACATTAAGCTTCCTGCTTATCCAAAACTCTAAATTGACTTGAGACACTATTTCGGCCTTAGGTCAAACCCATGATGTGATTCAGAGTTCTGGAAATTGCATTTCCACAAATCTGACAAATTGCAGCCCAATGCATTTTCAGAATAATTATTTTCTTTAACTCAATCTTTTCAGTTTCTCCTCAAATATAAGTACTAACCATTAGCCAAATAACAGGTTCAAGTTTGTTCCAAAACTCAATCTTTTCAGTTTCTCCTTCAATATAAGTACTAACTGTTGGGAAAATACTTAATTTGCCATGAGGGCCGACATATGTAATTAATTGTGTATAAATGCAATCTTAAAGTTAAGCCCAAAATTAATTTGATCTAATAAAGAATGGAAAAATTAGGCCCCATACTCTGAAAATTGAAAAGATTAGATTAATGCCCTAAATAAAAATTAAACTTCGTATAAACTGTATTGTTTACGTCCTTACTAAAACCCCCAAACCTCTTCCACCTTATTCATTACAGAACTTCATCTCTCTCTCTCTCTCTCTCACATTTCAGAACCCTCATCTTTGCCGTCCTCACAGCTTTGCTGTCTTCCTACGTCTCCCCTCCGAGGACCTCTTAAGCATCGAGCCCTAAAAGCCCCAAATTGCTAATCGCAAAAAACCCTCACCTGATTCCTACTCCGAAATCAAAAACTCCGACTCCAAATTCTGCAATGGCTGGAGAAAGTAGGTTGAAGAGGAAAATAACCGTTGATGAAGAAGCATCTTCAAAGAAGAAGAAAATAATTTCTTCAAAACTTTTTGACTATTTATTCCATTTTCAGTCATTAACAAGAAGAGTTTTGTATTTCTACTCTTTTTAAAGATGGAGAGGAAAGTATCTAGAGCATTTAATATCCTTATTGACATTTTCTACTCTTCATTGGGTTATTTTAATGTGGATTTGATTGCTGTTTCCACTAGTAGGGTCGATCAAGCTATTATATCTATCCCAATTGAACGGAAATTATTTAAAGTATTCAATGGACACTATAAACCCTTTTGAAGTATACTGGTCACTGGTCGTGGCAGGTACTTGAATTTTCAAATTGCACTGCCTTTTGATTTCGTTGTTACTTTTATTGTTAGACCACAAGACTGTAATTTCATGTATTAGAGATTTTTTTTTTATAACAAGAATCTTTAATTAACTCGAAATTGATAAGATTTTCCCATCCTGGAGTGCTTCACCCATGACCCCTCCTTTGAACATACAGACACAGAAAAAAGGAAGAAAAATGTAAAATAAGTGATCAGCTATGGAAGAGAAATGAATTATCCCACCGAGTTCTTTATTGAGTAAAAATATTGTAGATGAGAGATCATAATGTATTACCTTTCTGGAAATAGAAATCACAAAGCTCTTCTGTCCAATGTGTCGATGACAATGTAAGTTATTGCACCTCTTAGTTTCTAGGTTATGCACAGGTCCTTGTATCTTTATCTAGAGATAATATCTCACTTTCCTGAATCTTAATATGCACTCCCTTTTATGCTAGCCCAACAAAACATGTTGAAAGAGGGATAGCTAGACCAAATTAATGTTTACGTTAGGTGGTTGCAAAAGATTGATTTCATTGGACATTTCATAAAAGGTAGTTTTGGATTGAATGAGCGATGACAGAAAGGCATTTATGTAACTGACCCCAAGTTTACTTGGAACAAGAATTGGATACTGTTGTATTCTGTAATTTGCTTATGGCCGATAATTCTTTTGTTTGTAGTTTATTCTTATTTAATTGGTTGGTTAATCTCTTTAATTGCCTTAACATGTCCAAGCTCCGTGCTTTTGTTATGCTGAATGGAACTCTGTTAAAGGCTTGTACTTTTGGTATTTAAGGTCCGAAAAATCACCTGCTAGTATTTGATCTAAAATATGGTGAATTTTGAAAATCTGAGATGCCCCTAAAAGTTTGTACATGAAGTATTCTTTCAATTGGAGAGTTTGGAGACAGAAATCTTAGCACAAATAGTTAAATGTGTGATTTAAATGCTCCTGATTGCCTTGGCTCATTATGGGAACCTAGTGAGCAGCATTATACATCAGAAGGTGCTTTTTTTTAAAGACCTTTTTAAAAAAATAAATAAATAAATAAATAAATAAATAAATAAAAAATATATATATATATTTTCTCACTTTTTGGATGTTGGTTAAGAGGTTCTGCAAATTTCAGATACCTTTAATTGCAAAAT